GTTTAAGTTGGACATCAGGAGGCGCTACTTCACGGTCAGGGCGGCTAGGGTCTGGAACCAGCTTCCAAGTGAGGTGGTGCAGGCTCCCACCCTGGGGGTTTTTAAGAGGAGGTTGGATGACCACCTTACTGGGGTTGTTTGACCCCAGTGCTCTTCCTGCCATGGCAGGGGGTCAGACTAGATGATCTGCTCAGGTCCCTTCCAACCCTAGAAACTATGAAACTATGAAAAATGAAAGTTCATATTTCATAGGAGAGTTGAAGGTGTGGTAAAATCTGTTCAGAACAGTTCATCTGAGATGCAGATTAGCTCAGAGAAAAGTTGGAACAGTCTGTTTACCTCGAAGCTTTTTTGTGGATGTAGTCTTATTTCCTTCTGGTTGTGGTGTTTCATATATCATAGAGGAGTAAATAGATGGAATGCTCTTCTGGACAGGTATTTCTCGTGTGGTCCAGTGTCTCTGAGCTCTGTGGTGAGATTCTGTGATGCTGCAAATTATCCCAACCAAAGGGAGGAGCAGGATCTCAGGTTTCAGGTGGTCAAACTTGCTTTCTTCTTGTAAAATTATGAAGATTTCATTTAAAAAATTGGTAAAATTTGATGTCTTTGATAAAGCTTGCAATTCAATAATTTTTTTGCAAATTCTGGTTGGTCTAATAAAAGATATCACCTCTACCACGAGGCCTGATTGCTTTTTTCTTTAGACCAATACGGCTAGAATCTGGATACCTGACACATGGAAGATATCACATTTTAGCTGGTTTTTTAAAATGAAATCTTCATAATGGAACATGTAGCATTTAAAGCACAGCTTTCACATGGGACACCACTTAGAACTTGGCACCAAAGGGGGAAAAGGCAAGAAATCCCGTGTTCTGCAGATTTTGCCATTAATAGATTTTAAGGCTAGAAGGCTTGATTGTGATTAGCTGGTCTGACCTCCTGCCAAGCACAAGCCAGACGAGGTCACCCTGTATGCAGTAATTAACTGTACTGAGCCCAATATCTTGTGAACCAAGAACACGCAGGAGTTCTGGCTGCTGGGCCCTTTGCTCTGTCCACAAGGGTAACTTCCCTTCTGCAGTATAGGCAAAACGTCTAACGGAAAACAAAGGCCTTTCAGAGGAAAGGCTGTCTTCTAATGTGTAATTGCATAGCATCCCACCCCAGAGTCTGTCTCTGAGTGTGGCACAGGGTCAGGGAGTCTGTCTAGAGAGGCACCAGCTTCAGAGAATATATTCAAGCCTGGGAGAAGCTGTGGCTAGGGTAGCACTGGATTCAGGATCTCCCAGCAGGACTACTGCACTACACTTCCTCAGGTCACAGGTTCATCCTGATGCAGAAGAGGAAGCATGTTTAGATCTCAGTTTTTTATTTGTAAGACAGAAAACCCATTTCCTGTTCACCTGAGCTTGTGACTGCTCATGTCTGCCCTGCCCATATTGCAAAACCCCTTTCAGAGAGAACACAGATGCCGAAGCTTATTCTCTGGGGACACTGTTAGGGGCAGGGGCTGGGTTGAGTGGGGCCCCAGGGCAGGTTGTGGGATGCTCAGAGCCCAGGAGGCTCGTCCAGAGGTGCAGGGTTGGAAGGCTCCTGCCACTGTGCACACCTTGGGAGAGCCCAGGGGGGCCGGGGGGCACACGCCCCCCAGATTTGTCTGCAGGACAAAGGTGGGCTGCTGCTGCCCCACTGCCACTGTCTAGGGTTTGGTGGTCTGGGGTGGCTGGATGATCCACAAAGGGTGGCATGGAGGGCAGGATTTAGGGGGCTAAAAATAACCTGGCATCAGGGTAGGGGTGGGGCTAGAAAAAGAGCAGCCCCAGGGCTGGGGCCAGTGGCTGGGCTTTCTAAACCCCAGGGCTGTGCTGAGAACTGTACAGAAGTTCAGCTAGTTTGGTCTTGTCAGCCCCAATCTAAGTTAGACTACCTCGGAAGTAGGGTTAACTGGGGGGTGTAAAGGGCACCAAGAGCCTCTCTGCACCCTGAGCACAGGGGCAAGCCGAGCAGGGACCCAGCCTTCCTTGACAAGTTGGGGTGTCAGGAAGTCCAGCAGCAAGGGGACATGTAGAGGGATGTAGCCTCCTTCCCACAAGGAAGAGAAGGCCAAGGAGTTTCAAGATGGGCTCAATAAAGTTGTGCAGGGATGTCTCTGACAGGGCTGCTCCCAGGACCAGGTCCCTGCACTCAGCGGCCCAGGAGGCCCCTGCCCCTTCCCGTCTGCCTTTCCCATGAAGTGGCACTAAGCAATTGTGAGCCAAGCTGGGTGACCACATCCCAGGCACATCTCCATCGCTCAGGACTACTGAATCATGGCACAGGGCTTGTCTGACACAACCCACAGCTGTACTGTCTGGTTGAGTCCCTCTCAACACCAGCCCTGCAATACTGGGAGCATCATCCTTTCCACATCCTTTCTGGGGAACCTGAGGCACAGGCTGATCAACAGCCTGATCCTGCTCAGCAACAGCTTTACCATGCCTCCCGGGGGGGAGGGGAGAATGAAAAGGGACCAGGCATCCTCTCTCACCTGTCAGCGTGATGGTTGCCATCCAGATCTCTGGCCACAGGCTCATGTAGTTCCTCTGGGCTGCCTGGCAGAGACCCTCCAGGAGGACAGGTTTTTCTTTGGCCTGGAGGGAACCAAGGACATGTTAGCTCCCTCTGGTGAGAAGTGCTCTCACACCGCATGCTGGTACTAATCAGGAGGAAACAGGAGCACCAAGGGACTACAAGGAGCAATTGTGGCCTGTCCCATGCCTCATGGTCCTAGACCCAACCTGTGCCCCAGTTCCCTCCCTCCATCCTACAAAGAGCCCTGCCCTCAGTCACCTCCTGCCACTCACAAACTCACTCACCAAGTGCCTGCAGAGGTCCCTCAGCAGCTGCTCTTGTTTCACCTGTCCTGACCCCAGGACATGGAAGGCCAGGGCTGCCTGTACCCTCCTTAAGCCCAGGTAAGGGCAGCAGAGGCTCAGCGTTGTTCTGCACTCCTGAAAAACAGAGTCACACCAGGTCTGTATTCCCTGTTGAATGCTGAGCTGAGGCCAAGGGTTGCTTCTTGACTGAGGACTGCACCCAGGCCAGGAACAGGAGGGCCTGGCCAGGAGGTGACTGGCACTAGGCACAAAGGAGTGGCCGTGAGCAAAGGAAGGACTTCTCCTGCCTTTCATATGGTATCTGCAGGCAGCACCCATCTCCCCCTCAGTTAAGCCATGCAGGGAGACTTCCTGGGGGGTCAGATGTGCAACCTGCCCTGGACCTGGGAGGCAGCCCCGAGCTCAAGGAGGTGCCTGCATGAAGCCATCTCAGTGGGAAAGGGATGGTCACCACAGGACACAAGGATGGCACAGCGCCCCTGGGGCTGGACTGAGGAGACCTGGTGGGGCTGAGGAAATCAGTGTCATTGGTTCTTACCATGGCCACCTGCAGGTTGAGGTCCTCCAGGTGAAACAAGAGCATTGCCAAGCTCTGCCTCACCTGGTTCCTATAACAGCTTTTCCATCTTCCCTTTATGCAGCCTGCCAGGGTGCTGAAAAGGGTGAAAGCCACTGAGCGAAGGTCGTCATTGTCCTGTGGCCAAGAAACCCCAGTGTGGTCACAACCAAACCTTTCTCTTACGGGCCTGGCACAGCTCCTGACAGGAGCCTTTGGTTTCCAGCCTGCCAGGTGGTCTGCCAGGGGGTGGGCTCTGACAGTTCCTGCCCCAGGTGGGCTGCCGGGGAGCCAGGGCACTCAGCAGAGCTCGGGGAACATCAGCAACCCTCGTTCCCTAAACATACGGTCACTAGGGGCTCTGATTCTCAATCTCAGCAAACCCAAATCCCACAGCTTCTGGGGTCACTTGTCTCTGCCCAGCTCTGCTTCCATCTCAGGAGAATCAACACGGCAGAGAAGAGCCCAAGAGCCCTACAGAGCCCCATGGCCCCAGCTGCAGCCTTGCCTGGCCTCCAGAGAGTCCCTCCTTGTCTACAAGGGCCCATCTGTCATCCTGTTCTCTTCACTTGCTTTTCCTCCTGAAAACTCATCTTTCCCACAGAACTTAAGATCTTCCAGTTCGGACTGGAACAAGGGGCAGCAAATGCATCTCCCACCTCTGAAATGGCCCCGAATGAAGAGCATTGGAATAGGGGTGGGGAGTGCTGCTCACTCACATGGTTGAAGAAGGGCCTGATGTGTGTGACTTCATCAAAAACTAGGGGCCCCGTATCTGTCCCTAGATGATCCAGGACACTGGCCAGTGCGTGCATACCCTCCTGCATGATCTGAGCACTGGAAGGCACAAATAATGCCTGGTAAAAGGTCTCCAGGATGGCGTTCTGGTGTTTTTTCAGCTGTGCAAACAGAAGACATGACACACTGATCACTGCTCCTCACCTCTGGGCTTTCCCATTCACAGAGCATTCAGGACTTCATCTGACCAAGCCCCCATGGCTACATTCCTGTATGCCTGTGAGACACAAGGCACCCATTTCTGCACCAAAATTACATTTGTCACACCCAACTGTCTCCAGAGACACCACAAGGGTGAGACAGCAAAACTGGATATACTTCAGGTTCTTGTGCACCCTCTCAGCCCGGCCTCATTGTTTGGTCTCTACAGTCAAGCTGTGTTCCAGAGGGTGCAGAAAGATTTCAACCTCACCTGCTCAGGGGCACCATACACTGCTGCTCAGTCCTCTGGCTGCCATCTGCCAAACCAGGTTATTGGAGTCCCTGGCTCGCTGTTGAAGTAAATGAAGCATTGGCTTCAGGAGCTTCTGGTCTCCAATGATCGGGTCACATATAAGCTAAAAGAAATCAGTGTGTCCATGAGATCCAGCACAGCCATTCCCAACAGCCCAGCCCTGCAGCAGAAAAGTAACCCATGCCAGAGCAGAATCCCACCGGACATCGTGAGGAAGAGCCTCAGCATTCATCACTCTCCTGTTGGATATGGGGAGGCTTGTCCACTTAGAGCCAGGCAAATCATGAAGATAGGGACTTAGTCTAAGCCGGAGAGATGATGCTGATGTGAGTAGATTGGGACGTTGCTTGCTTTAGAGCAGTGTCTTCCTGGGATGCTGGGTGGATATAGAAGATGCATTAGTTAGGACCAAACTCAGAGCTGATAGCTAGGGCAGGGCCTCAGCAGGGGCAGATCAATAATGAAATCCTTGTCTGCTTCTCCTTCTCATACAGCAGAAGTGGTGATGCATGGGCAAGGACAGAAGAGAAACCTCTCATCTGCCTCCAGTGATCCTTTCTCCTAGGAAGGGGCCCAGGGGAATCCCCAGGGAAACAGCACAGCAAACAGCTGCCTTTTCATCAAAATGCTCATTCTCTATGGGGGCTTACCTGGCTGATGAAGGCCATATCAGTAACGCGCAGCTTTTCAGTTGTGGAACTGGCCCACTGCAGGACCTGCCCTATGAATTTAGGCATTATAATGCCCAGAGGGATAAGACCTCTGCAAGGGAAAACCACTAGTTCTGGGACCAGCTGGGCACTGCCAACACTCAGTTGCTCTGATGTGGCAACTCTCATCTCTTAGAGCACAAGCTCCATGTCTCCAGCCCCATACAGCTCTGCAGGTTCATCATGGAAAGTTCCCCCTCCACCACTCGTCCCACTGCCCAGAGCACAGATGCAATCCAGCCTGCCTCTCTTACCTGGCCAGCTGGCACAACCCTTCCCGGTGCATCTTGGGGTTCTCAAGGATTGGCCAACTTCCCTCTTCGCAGAGGGCTGCAGCCACTCCCTCCCCAAGGCCCTTAGATATGGGACAGGCCAGGCTCTCCAACCAAAACACCCTGTCACTTGAGGGGTCCATTACTCAGACACTTGCTGTGCAAATCAGGCAGCTCAGACCAGACTGATGCTGCCACTCGTTCTCATGCCTTGCAACCCCCTGACAGGGACAGGGAGGGCAGGGCCTTGCACAAATCAGTGCGGGGAGCCAGAAGGGATGCATGGAGGCTCTCCCAAGCCAAATGCACTATGGAAAGAATTGGGCAACCATTTTTCTCTCCCTAAAAGGACAAAGGCCACATGTAGAGCATGGGAATATGCAGAAGTCACATGCCCAGGTCCCAAGCACTGGGAGCCCAGTTTGTGCTGGTCACTAATGCAGATTGTGAAGCCTGCGGTTGGAACCCCTGGGCTGAAACTGCCTGGCCTGTCCCAGAGAAGCTCAGATTGGGGGAACAAATAGGCCCTTCCAGCCTTAGCATTTCAGACTCTGCTTCTTTCAGCTGCCGAGACCAAGACAGCTCAGCACAGCCCTTGGCAAGGACAAGAACACCCTGCAGGCAGCTAGCTTGAAGTAAGGCCAAACCTGTGAAAGCAGTTGCAGCCTACTCCTTACCTGCAAGGGATGCCCATTGCTTGCAGCTTCCCCCTCCCCAACTGCCTCCTCTGCATGCTCCCTATGGGCATTGGCATGTCCTGCCCCACAGTGCGGCCAACTTGCTCCAGAAGAGCACAGAGGAGCTCTGAGAGCAGCTTCCTCAGCACTGGGATGGAGTGAATGGTGGAGAGCATCTCCAAACATGCACATGTTGCCTGAAGGGATAGAGAAGGCTAGAGTCAGCCTGGGAAAGACTCCTGGAAATCCATAACTCCAAGTCTAAATGTCTCTTCCTAACATCCAGGAGAGCACAGAACAGCTCTGGCAGCAGCTTCCTTAGTACTTGGCTCCCTTCCCTGTCTCATCCCTGCACTTCTGCCTGGGAAGTGTAGGGGCACCAGCAGCCTGAACAAACAGCTACAAAGCAGAAGGAACCTCTCGGTTACAGGAGTTTCTAGTTCCAAAGTCTCATGGAGTCAGTCAGCCACATAGCATGAAGCTGCTGTGTTTCTGCTGTTGACAGAAGCGTGGGGGTGACCAGGGGGATAGGAGAGAAGGGGAGAAAAGCTTGCCCCACATCCTGGTGCCCTACTTCAAGCTCTAGAGAATGAGGACTCAAGCCCTCAAGGAGGATTTGACAGAGCTGGGCCTGGGCTGTCACTTACTGCTAGAGGTCCAAGGGCCACAGTGTCCTCAGCTGAGCTCCTCTCTGTGCCAGCCAGACATTGAATCTTGCTCATGAGCAAGCATAGTATGAGGAGACTGAAAAAATCATCCCCTCCCAAGACCCTCCAGAGCTCAGAGGTATCAGTGCAAGTTAACACAAAGTACATGTGAGCTGCAGATACTTGGGTGATGTCATGAAGCAATAGGACACTGAAGCAAAGGCCAAGGGAGGACGGGGTTGGGGCACAGTGATGTCATCTGCCAATGCCATTAGGCACAAGTCTGGCATTTCCTATGCAAACGCACTAAGGCATTGACTATTACCAAGTCATCCCAAAGGATCTGCAGCTGACTTGAAACTCTATGGGCTTTGCCAGGTTGTGGGATGTGTGAGTGGCACCAGGCACAAGAGGTAGGGAGTGGTAAGTATCTGTCCATCGGCAAAGGCTTTCTAAGGAGGCTGCTGGTCACTGCCTCTAGATGGAAGCCAGCAAGAACGGAGATGCCTTCTAGCAGGAAGCCTGTCACAGATCTTTCCTGGATTGTCGGCATCCAGATAAAAGTGGCGCGCAGGATGTCTGGCACCTGGAGGGAAGATAACAAGAACAAGGGCCCCTTTCTCATTCAGCCAGCACAATTCAAACCAATCCGTCCCACAGTTTGGCAATTTGCTGCATCTTAGAAAATTCCTCGCTTTAAGGGACCAATGTCCAGATAGTGCTGTCTCTGGGTGATCCTAAGAAATAAGCAAATCCCTATGCCCCTCTTGGGTGAAAGTGGACACTGTGATGTGTGGGCAGACCCCAACCAACCCACACAACCTCAGCCATTCCCACACCCATGTGCACACACCTACAATCTAATTGCATGTGCCAACCAGGACCTATTTCTGCCTGACATTAGCCTGCATGTTCGCACAAACACCCCAACAAATATCAATATTTGGGGTGCCTTTTGCCTGCGTGAATGCTCAGCTCAGGACCAACAAGCACCACCACCTTCAGAACCCCTGTGAGAATCCCTGGGACCATGAGCAAGATGATTGTAACTGTGATTTTTCCAGGTGAACCCAGCTATACTGGAACTGCACACTGGAATTCACACACCTCATTTCTAACTACACCTCCCCATTCTGCAAATGGCCAGGCCTGCATGGCAGTAGGTCCAGCTGCCCATAGCCAGTCCCATCTAGAACAGGGGGAGGGAGAGGCTGCAGTATCTCTGGCATCCTGTGCCTTGTTCCCAACCCCATGCAGAGGAGCAGGATGAAAGAAGCATTTCACAAAGCCTCTACCAAGGCTGGGAAAGGCCTGAGGACACAGAACCATCTCTAGCTCCTGCCTTGCCATGAACCCCCTGCATGGAGTGGCACTGAGGGAAGCGTGCATCCTCATGCCTAAGCATGGTGTTCCAGCCCAGCCACAGCCGGGTGCCTCAGGCTCCTTGTTGCCCTCTCCTGCTGTATTTGCCCCAGAGTCTGTTTCCAAACCTTCTAGGGCTGAAACCTCTTATCAATAACCTAGATCACCGAATCCTGTTCTTGCCTTCCTGTGCTTTTTCTCTTGGATGCGGCTGATCTGCTCTTCCCCATCTCTGGCTAGTAAGGGAAATGGAACTTGCTTCATGTCCAGGGATCAACAGTAAGATTGCTATTCACTCCACACGAAAGCAGTGTTTGAAAAGCATAAAGCAAATGAAGAAAGCCTCCTCAGCTTCAATTTTACCTCATTCAGAAGGGCATCTCCATGCTCCCTAAGGATTGTAATGAGCCAATGTCCTGCTGCTGTGGCACACATGGGGCTGGCAGACAGCATGGCATCCATTGTGCTCCCCACAAAGTCAAGGCCCTGGTTGGATGGAAAGTATTTGCCAATGCCCTGGAGAAAAATAGAAAGAAGGGAAACTGCACTGAACCCCAGAGTTCAAGAGCGATATTAAAGAGTTGTGCTGTGCATAAGCTTCTGCCCTATGGCAACTTGGTGCGTGTGCAAGAGGTGAATCCTGTGATCGAACATTGCTTTAGAGTGCCCTCACCTTGTAGGTGGAGAAGGCAGGCAATGCACTCAGTGGCCGACAGGTAGGATGTGGCCAGAGAGGTGCAGGTAGGGGGCCAGCAGCCCCAGCAGGGACCCAAATTGCTCAAAAGGCTCTTATAGTTTCATAGTTTCTAGGGTCAGAAGGGACCTGAGCAGATCATCTAGTCTGACCCCCTGCCATGGCAGGAAAGAGCACTGGGGACAAACGACCCCAGTAAGGTGGTCATCCAACCTCCTCTTAAAAACCCCCAGGGTGG